CTCCCCACAATTCAAGAGAATGTTTATCAAGGACAAAAGGGTTCAACCTAAGGTTAAGTCAAGGGTTGGACATGCTATTCACTGCAAGGATCTTGTAAACGTAAAATAACAAAGGATCAGTAAGTGCTACCACCCGTGCTCCTAAAACCTCTAAATCGCTGGGGCGGGGCTTAGTAAGCTAGAGGTGTCAATCATGTCAGAGATGCTTAAGAGATTTGCGAATTACAGTAGCAGCGTTTACTAAAGAGACGTGACACCGTCAATAAACGGCATTACCTTCACACAATTTCGAGCTAATTGACTCGGCTCCCTGTGTTATTTTAATCAAAATTTAATTATCGATCTCGCGTGTGATTGGCTGATTCGTAATGAGCCGTCCCCGGTTTCGGACTGGTTGCTGGCCGCTGACAAACACCTCTTGTGACGTAACGAATTAACACTGTAAGTAATTCGTAAATCCTTTTTGGATACAAAGCGCGTCGTATACTGGTCCTATTAGTCAGTCAGTGCGATTCAGTGACCCCGTTCGAGCGCTCCTCTTCCGGCTGTTTTGTCTAGCAAGCAGCGTTTTAAGTGCAGCGTTTAACGATTTTCTGTGGTGACTAATTCGGGTCAAAAGGATTATGTCCGCCTCCTTCTCGTCCTCCTTTACGATAGAGAGCATTCTTTCACGGCCGACCCATCAACGATGCATGCCGTATTCAATTCCACACCCGTACCCAATTATGCCCTTGGCACAGGGTTATATAGGTACAGTACTTTTGTGTCTTCACATTGCGACGCGTCTCAACAAGTAGATAGTTTTTCTCCCTTTTCACAGCAACCGATACCTGCAGATGTTGGACAGCTGTCGATCTAAGCCAGCTCTGTTGCAGATTATGGAAGGATACCTTCCTTCACGTGGTGCCATTTGAGAGACCATCAACACATCAAGGACTTTAACGACTTACAACTCTCACAATCTCGCTAACACCTTAATTCCTTCTACTCTTGATACTCTTACACCCACAGATTAAGGTTTCAAAAGCTTAGCGTACTCTCATAACAGATGCTTACTGTAACTGCAGGGCAACTACGTGAAGACAAACAGACTAAGTTATCCTTCCTCTCCGTTCTAATTTTTAATGTCTGCGTCAATCGAATTTTCAGGATTTCCACGCTTTGGCGATCTTCTACGCACGCAGCCGAAGCGTAAGAGAAGGCATCGAACGATATTTACAGAAGAACAACTCGACCTGCTGGAGGGTACCTTCCAGAAAACGCACTATCCTGATGTTCTCCTCCGAGAAGAATTAGCGATGAAGGTCGAGTTGAAAGAAGAACGCGTCGAGGTGAGTCAACTTCACTCCTAGCGAAAATTATGACCATAAGTAACGCTGATCTAACTTTAAAGTCCGTAAACGAAATCCTAAGGTATAGCCATTCACAAGAAACCTCTTCTAATGCACTTTCACAAGGTACTATAAAATAAATCTTTTATCCTAAGGGTTATACAAGTCGAAGTATTTAGTGCGTTTTGACTTCGGCTTTAATTATCATCACAAGAAACTCTAGGCCCGTGCGTGGTTATGAAGGCGTTTGTTTAAGCACTGCAAACAGGTTTTATTATTAAATATTGCTCAACCACTTAATCCTCGACTTCAAAAGGTAAAGAGGGTCAGCAAGTTAGTTTTTGTTATCATATAACGACTGCAATTTTTTAGTGAAGTGTTTGAGCTTAATAGGTACAGATCGCGGAAAACAGGTCACAAATGCCGTTTGAGGCACTCGCCGCCTTAAGCGGAGGAAACCCAAATATGTTCAAGAATATCTGTATAGAACTTGTAAAAAATAACATTAATATCAACAGATCTATATTTCCCCAGCACCGGCTAAGAATAAACATTTATAAATTATTACGATAACTCAGAATAGTTTTATTTTTCTCTCTCTCTCTCTCAAAGAATACTTGGGCAGAGTTTTTGCACCCCGCCAAACTCAAAATAGTTCAGTTCAATGCCTACACGTTGTCAAATGTATCTCACATTACTCGATTCTATTGCCGGACTCGCTAAAAACACGCCGCGACCTAATCTTAATAATTGTGGGGTAAATATGATAGCATATCGCTGTCAAACTGCAGAAGATTAATGATTTCAGGTGAACGCCACTAGCATCGCGGCCTGTCCAGAATTTTGAGTGACATGTATGTCCAAGCTTTGCTAAACACGCCCGTTATGGAATAGTTTTCCTACGTGGTACAGCCTTTTCATTTTCAACACGAAAATGTTGAAGTAAAGACGGC